AGGGAGCCCAATGCGGGGCTCGATCCCAGGACCCTGGGATCATGACCCGAGCCGAAGGCAGACGCCTAACGACTGAGCCACCCAGGCGCCCCAAATAAATAAAAATCTTAAAAAAAAAAAAAGCAACCACCACCACCCAAAACAAAAATACCAAACATCATTAGCAAACAGGGAAAAGGATATTAAAACGACATTTGCCAGGCCCTTGGGTGGCTCGGTTAAGCGTCTGACTTCAGGTCATGATTTCAGGGTCCTGGGATGGAGCCCTGCATAGGGCTCCACACTTAGCGGGGCGTCTGCTTGTCCCTCTCCCTCTGCCCCTCCCCCTGCTCGTGCTCATTCTCTCAAATAGATAAAATCTTAACAAAAAAACCCACCACGTTTCCATTTTCTTCCAGCAGATTGGCATTAATTTAAAAATTCAGGTGATTCCCAGTAGCAGTGAAGAGGTGGTGAATGTGGTCTCAGGAATGCTGGTGCCATCCACTAAGTTGCTCAGCCATACTAATTAGTTAAACACGCACACAGCCTAAGAACCAGCAATTTTACACCTGGGTACAGTCGATCCTCATTACTTATAGATTCACTATTCGCAAATCTGCCTACTCGCTAAAAATTTTAAGTCCAAATTCAATACTTGTGGTACTTTTGTGGTTACTCACGGACATGTACAGAGCGGCAAAAATTTAAGTTGTCTGATGCACGTGTTCCAATCGAGCTCAAATGAGACACACTGCCCCCCCCACCCCCCACCTCAGTCCAGCTCTCTTTAGAGATGACCAGGGGATGGAGACTGTGTAGTGCAAGAAATTCTGTCCCTGGGGCCAGCTGGATGAATCTGTATGCCACTCATGCAAATCACCAAACACTTCAGAACCTCATTTTCTCTTTGTAAGAGAAAACAGATCTACCAGAGGGAGTTGTTTTTAAAATTTAGAATTATAATGTATGTGAGATGTATGTATCCGTTCACACACTTGCCTGAGAAGCAGTGGTTCAGAATCCACTAATTCAGTCTTTGCAGTGACTTTACAGAACTACTGCAAATAACAAGAACCAACTGTACACACACAGAGACACTACGGCACTGTGCCCCAGGAGATGTAAGAACGTTCACAAACTTAGAAATAACCCAACTGTCTATTAGAGAATATATGAATAACTTGTGACGTATTTATAAATAAAATACAGGATTCCCAAACTTTTTGAGTTTCTGACCTGAGGACCCCGGAACCCCCTTCTCAAAACCCTCTTTTCTCTTAGTTATCCCCACCTAACGAAGAACCCATGTTTAACTCCAAGGGTTCCTATCTGTTCGTTTCTAGTATATCCTAGAACAGCGCTGCCTTATAGTAGTGTTTAATAAACATTCTCCAAAATTATAGGAAACAAACCATTACTGAGTGTCCATCCATGAAAAGAAACAGTACAAATCGGGATGGGCGTGCGGAGAATGGATAAAATTGGGAAAAAAAAACTGTTAATGTTCACTATTTTAAAAACTGTATGTTGTAATCTGTTGTTTTTTTTTTTTTGTAATCTGTATTTCACAAAAAAGTGTCCCTGTAAGTATTCTTACAATTAGCTGACAATTATAAAGGACGGAATTGTTAAGTATGCCCAACCATATTTAGCCATTTTTCTACAAAAAAAAAAAGAAAGGTTTTCTTTTTGTTGTTTTGGTATTTTAAGGAACAAACCACAATATGCCCAGAAAGAAAGGTCAGGCAACTTCAGAAGCAGTCAGATCTTCAGAAACTCTAATCATCATCTCTTTAAAATGCCTGCTGATTTGGAAGATCTGCCAACTCACATGGTTATGCTTTTACTTACCTTAACAACTCCACACTGCTTAAAGAAGTCTGCCAGATCATCTAGAGTCACATTGTCATTTAAGCCTTGCACATAAATTGCACTGTTGTCAGAGTCTTCATCTGGATCTACAGGTGGGCCTTACAGAGAAAAGAAAGGAGTTATTATCCTGTATCTACAGGGGCTGATTAACCCACTAGTCACTACTGCTCACTGGTAATTACTACAAAGCTAAGAGAACTACCAGCCACACTAACAAGAATGCCATGGAACTTGTGGTCTCCTTTGTCTAAGGCTATTATGAGTAGCTGCTCATGATAAAGGGAGCCCTAAACTGCTTCTAAAAGCAAGAATATCACACTGATCTACCAGGCTGCTGAGCTCTAGCATGCACTTACTTCGGTGCTGTTCATTTATAAAGCATGATACAAAATTCAAGAATTCAAAATTACCTAGATCAAGATCTGGTCCTTCGTCCATGGGTCCTGCCAACCAGGAAAGATCACATAAAACACTATTAGTGCACGTCTTGCAAGCTATAAACCTTACAAACACACATAGCTATCTACTATACCACCGTTTGATGGGGCGTCATTAAATTCAAAATGACCCGCACTGCTAAAATGGAGCAGTGCCCCTTTAACATTTGTGAAAGATTTGCTAGGGTTTTGCTTTTTTTTCTTTGCTGGTTTGCTTTTAAACCATTAACCAAATACACTCTCAATGCTTATGTGCCAAATTAGTGTTAAATTTAAGTCAAAATTTTTCCTCCAAACAAACCAAATTTAAAAAATGTATTCTCCCCCATATTACAGAAGCAGTTGCTCAATACTTCAAGTTACCCTTTGTTTTGTAACCATAGGTTAACCTTATTACCCCTAAGACAATGCCGGCAGTACCCATTAGTCTCTTTGTATAGATCATTTTTAAACCGCTTATGAAACTAATAAAAAATTATAGTTTTCTAAAAACTGACTGTATTTTTTTAAACACTATCCATGGTAATACTCAAAAACTTACCACCAGGCTTATTGAAGCCACCTCGCTCTCCAGCGCTGCTGGGGGGATAAACGAAGAAATGAAGGCCTTTCCCTTTAAAAGCCAGTACCGCTCTGAGCCTTGGGGGGGCTCGTGGGGGAGAAGGGCACTGGCTAAACACATCTCCAAACAATGCATCTCTCTCATCTCGTCACTATGCCTTTCTTCAGGGCAGCTTGCTCAAATTTCCTTTATATACAACCTTGCTTGTCTGATTGTACACACCAGTGTGGTTGGTTCCTTTCATTTCGGGGGCTGGTATTAATAGTGCAATACTTGGCAAATCAGGGGGGGAAAAATCGATCCCAAACACCCACCCCATCAGCTGAAAAACAGGGAGAGCTTGTTGTAGAGAGGAGTAGCAAGCTAGGGCAACTGCTTTCCATGTTCATAAAGGTGCACCCTCAACCTCTCCTAGGGGAGAGCCAAGTGAGGCTTCCTAACAAGTCACAGTATAATAAAGCAGGAGACAACCACATTAAACGCCTACAACACACATCAGAGGACGCATCCAGCCAATCTTCAGCATAAAGCCATACAATTCAGGGCACTAATGGATTTAACAATCGCTGTGAAAGGAGAATTTACAACAAATACCAAGGCTCAACGGACTGGGGGTGCAACTTTATAGACACATCAGTTGAGAACAGTGACGACAGCAGTATAAAATGACTGCTTTACATACTGTAAAAACAGGGGGAGGGAATATGAAGGGCCTTTTTTATTTTTCCTTTAAAATTAAATAAAGGCAGCTCCTCAGTGGGAGGCCCTGAGCTTTTTCTAACCAGTATTGCACCTTTAATACCTGAATATACAATTTTCAAGCTGTTGCATGCAGCTTTGTTTCCTTTTTAAAAAGTACACACCATAAAATGTTCTCTCTCTTTAAACACAAAAGTTTACACTTTAATGTTATACAATTCTAGAGTATTATACCTCCTCTGGTTCATTACCAAATAACAAGTATGCAGTTACCAAAGTTACAGAAGGATTCCATTTATACAATGAATACATTTTGTTAAAAATATTCTATGTATATTTTTCCTCTCCATATGGACACCGTGTCTAGTCCCACTTTTCATTATGCTGCCGGCTGAGTACTGAGTACGGGTACTTTTTAAGTATTGAAGTGTATACAAGGCTCTCACTTTGTAACCTGTAGCATATAAATGCGACAAAGCATGTTAAAAAGTTTCCACGTTTAACAGCCAATGAAAATATCAAAATACTGAGGCAATGAAAAAGGGCATGTTAACAACATTGAGTGCCTTACCTGCAGAAGACACTGAAAACCATCACCACACCAGAGTGAAAAAGAGGGGAGGGGAGAATGCCCCCATCCTGTCCCCAAGGGATCCAACCGACTGCCTCACAGTCAGTTGAAAAACCTGTGGGAAAGCCATGACTTTTTTTTTTTCTATGGCTCCAGGAGACTTCTTCAGAAAGAGGGGATCCCTCTACTAGCAAAGTCTAGCAAAATTAGTAGAATTATCACTTCTGGAGTATTAAAATGAATGAACTTGAAATTGGTTTTGCAATTGGAAAATACTAAGAATTCTAGGTGATTGGAGGAGACGTGATGATAGTAATTTCAAGTGTCTACGTCTATTTTAAAACATCCATAAAGAAGTGAAACCTTTATAATGGAATGACATTCTCCAAATCAGACCGATTTTACTTAATACCAAATTGTTCATCAATTTTTGTGTGTTGTCAAGTAACTGTTTCTTCCAATAAAGATTTCACCAAAGACTTTTAAGTTATGCAGAATATGCAGAACTGCATTTTCAATGTTATCTTTCAATAGGATACAAATTTGAGAACACAAAAATTAAAGATCAACTTTTTATCTAATTTTGAAGGCCACTTCTATATAAAAAAAGAAACCCTACCCAATTTTTCCTTGAACCAACAGTGGCACCAAATCCAATTTATACATAATATGTATAACATTCTGCATAACTTTTTTTTTTTTTTTTTTTACTAGTTTATATAGGGACAGAACACACACAGAACTAAGCCTTCTGGATTATGTTAACCACCAACATTATACCTCACCTTCATCAAAGTACAGACACCAGAAGGGGAAAAAGGGGTGGGAGAAGGGAGGGGAGGGGCAGGCACAGGTAGCAGGATTATGCTATTGATCTAAACAAAGTTTTCTAAACCAGATTGTGCCATCTATCAAAATGGTCAAACCGATTTAGACTTCTCAAAATCTCCAACAGGGAGTGATCCTGTAATTATTTACATTACTCTGCAAAAAGCTATTAGACTTTTCTGTGTACCAGGTGCACCTCAGGCCATAGTTCAGGAGTTAGGGGACCAAGAATTTCATCATTACGTTCAACAATTCCAAATATAAACAGAAGTTGGGGACAAACATTGTGGAAAACAGCTGCATTCCTTTTCTGCAGTATATATACACCAGGTATTTCAAGACAACCATTCAGAGGCAATTAGTTAAAAAACCTAGGGGTGTTAGAAGGGTTGTGTGTGTTCCATCCCGAGTCTATTACCCACAGAGGCTTTGACCTCTGGAAACCATGAAGGGAACTGAAAGCTCTAGTTTCAAAACCATTCTTTGTTCTCCCCAACCCAACCAAGTAGATTGGCAGGGAAAAAAGCGAACTGCCACTTAATCTATGCCACAAAGATGACATTTCCATGTTTTAGAAGATGGCCTGGGCTCAACAGATTGTCCATGGAAATGCAGAAATAAATTTCTTATGTCTTTCAGTCCCTTCTTTCCATTGAAAATCCTATGGATGAAACAAAATTAGGTAAAAGGAGAAAAGGTTTGCTCTTACCCCATTCCACCGCGTCCTCCTCCCCGCCCACCTCTGCTCATGCCTCCACGATCAAATCCCCCTCTTCCCCTGCCCCGGTTATCAGGGCCACTCATGCTCCGGTTCTCTCCTGGTCCGGAAAATCCTCCAGACTCCTGCCCATAAACACCCATGCTACTGGGGTGGTCCTGTCGGAATGAACCTGAGGAAAGAGTCACATCTGTAAGCCATGGACCAGCATTTGAACCATTGCCTGTCGTACTTTCTCCTGGAAACACAGAATGCTCAATTGCAAGGTACTAACCAAGGCACCATCTTCTTTAAACCTAACAAAGCACCTCTAAAAGTAGGGTCTTTTAAGTTTAACCAAAACTGCTGGTTCATCAAAGCTGAAGTAATCTTACAGTTAGCCTAGAATAAACCACCCAAATAAGAAAAAAAGCCCTCAGGTCAACAGTTTACAGGGTTTTGTATCCTAGGATGCCTCCAAAAGCTACTTCTTTAAACTACTCTCAAGAAACAAAAACCATGGGGCGCCTGGGTGGCTCAGTCGTTAAGCATCTGCCTTCGGCTCAGGTCATGATCCCAGGGTCCTGGCACCGAGCCCCACATCAGGCTCCCTGCTCAGTGGGAAGCCTACTTCTCCCTCCCCCACTCCCCCTGCTTGTGTTCCCTCTCTCGCTGTGTCTCTGTCAAATAAATAAATAAAGTCTTAAAAAAAAAACCAAAAACCAGGGGCAGGTTTCTTAGGGCTTTAGTATGTTGCTGAAGCTTAGGCTCCATCAAAAAGCACTACTCATCTCATAGCCATAATGAAACATACCCATGGATGGAGTTTCATTAAAAAACAACTATCCAGGTAAAAATTAAATTGTGAATACAGTTTTGAGTTTTTGGTTACTTCTCCATGTGAAACTAAGTGTTCTATGAGAAGGACTTTTTTTTTTTTTTTTTGCTTTATAGATGTAAAAAAAAAAACCCCAAACCAAAATATAGCATTTACTTGACTATCAAAATTGCACTAGTCTCCCAACAGCTATCTGCTCACGTCCTTTTAATGAGTTGGGGTGGGCAGGCCACAGGAGTGCCAGCTTCACTCAGTGCATATAACCTCCTTAAAGAGAGCAAGGCTGGCGTCTTAAAATGTTTTCTCTGGTCAGTTACAAACTCTCTTTTCTTTTTGGCAAGGCATACTAACAATTAAATTGGAGAAAAGCACTCATGTCTTTAGTGGGACATCCAAGTGGTTAGCCAGGATGTTATGTCCTAAAGATGCCCTAGAGTCCAAAACTAAACAGCGGTAAAGACCATTTCCCCATGTTCAGAAACTCCAAACATAATCATTCTTATTTGGTTTTCTCTCTTAGCAACTCACTCTGCTGCCCGTAGCTGCTGCTCTGTTGGCTATATTGACTTGGAGCCTGGCTGTAGGATCCAGTTTGGGGGGGATAACTAGTGGGCGGCTGCTGCCCATAGCTGCTTTGTTGACCATAGCTACTCTGCTGTCCATAGCTGCTCGGCTGCCCATAGGTGTTCTGCTGAGAGTAACTGCTCTGATCATAACTAGTCGGCTGTGTAGAGGAGTAGCTGAAAGAAAGAAAAAAAGCTTTTTAGGAAGGAGAGGCTTGTTATTTCTTCAAGCCCCCTAAATATAAGAGACATTCATAGCATATGACATAGAAATCCTTAAAAACACACTTACTTTCTACATATCAACAGTCTGAATTTAAAATAAGCAAATATTTTTGTATTCAGAATACAGCTTTAAATGCAAAGGAGGGGAAAACTACTGAAAACCAATCTATACATTATACAACCCTTAGAGTCTTCTCTTTTACCTCCCACCTCCTTAAAACCATAGTTTTCAATTAAATTCAAGGCAAATTTGGGAGTTTGGTGTTCCTGCATTAAGGGAAGAATATGTGCATGTGTACTCAGTGGGAAAGCCACGGAGGAAAAGGAGGCAGTTAAGCATGGCAGTTCTAAGCCTGCCTCCCAACAATTCCCGTCAATCATGACAGTGACTGTTCTGAAGGTACAAGGCTGCCCGGTGTGTGTGTGTGTGGCCACACAAACATGGCAATTTTCTCTTGACGTCTGTTCAAGTTTCAAATTGTTTCGCTATATACTGTATACAGTTTCAAACTTCCAGACATGCTTGATCATCTATAACTTTCAGACATGCCTGATCATCTATGAAATCTTAATGAAGAAAAGATGGATAAGGTAACTTCAGAATCATGGCACCGTACAAGAGTATTCAGTGGATCTTCATCTTTCGACATGTCAACCCCAGGCAGAGAAACTAACCAATGATACCTTTCTTACATAGAAATAAAGCTTAATTAAAAGAACTGCTATTAAACTTTAAATGAACTATGGTAATGAAAATAAAAAAAGACATCATATTTAAAAGTACTACTAAACTAAGCCTCTCTCATATTCCCCAACGTGGCTGTACAGACTCCCGAGCCTCTCTTCACAGAGTGTACCTACTCAACTGGCCAGGGTTACTACCCTCAGCAGCACAGGCGGGCTCTGTGGAAGAACTGCTGTAAGCCCTGCCCACTGCTGCTCCATGCTGTACACGTACCCGGCCAATTGTATTTTGTTCCCAAACCTGTTCACACCTGCTGCACTTTCATGCGAAAACCAATGAAACGGAGTGCAAAAAAGGGAAGTGCTACCTCTAGCAAAACTAAGTTAACACTTTAGGACACAATTCAGACAGTTCATTTGAAAACTTGCTTCTAATTAAGTATGAGTGAGAAAACTTGCAGTTCTTCCTCCACTTTACAAGAAACCCAAATGAGACACTGTAGCTGCTGGGGTGGTTAACATGTAAGACAGAGTGCAGAATAAATCTGTAGACGAAAGGCCCTGGCCCAATCATTAAAAGACCTGTGCATGGGGGCACCTGGGTGGCTCAGTTGGTTAAGCATTTGCCTTTGGCTGAGATCATGATCCCAGGGTCCTGGGATCGAGCCCTGCATTGGGCTCCCTGCTTATTAGCAGGGAGCCTGTCTCTCCCTGCTTATTAGCAGGGAGCCTGTCTCTCCCTCTCCCCCTGCTTGTGCTCTCTGTCAAATAAATAAATAAAATCTTGAAAGAGTTGTGTATGAATGGACCTCCAAGTTAAGTTAAATATGAAATGATTAAAATGAAGTTTCTTTCTTTCTTTTCTTTTTCATGTCTTCCACTTGATCCATCCTAACTGCATTGGAGGAGGTGGCTTCTATGATTGGGTTTACCTGCTTTCATATACTTGTTTCTCATCCATCTGAATTAACTAAAAGAGCAAAATTAAAAGGAAGAACCTAGAATGGTAAAAATGTTGTTTGTGTTTAGAGAAAAAAGTTACTGACTGCCAGGTACTGCTACAGGAACCTAAGACTGAAGTTTTAATGTGTGGTCAAGGCTCATCACTGGGAAAGTCAGATAACCCGTTTCACCTGAGGAAGAAGCAAGCTGGTCAACAGCCTGAAAAAAAAAACTGTTATTCTACTAGCTCACTGGCCATGAGAACAAAGATACTGACCTGGTAGGAGGATAAGATGGTGGTGCTGTGACTGGCTGCATGGGGTAGCTCCCAGGTACCTGGGGATAACTGTAGTTACTCTGTCCATATCCTAGGCTGGGCTGGTTGTAAACCCCTGTGCTAGATGGAGATTGACTAGTCTCACCGGGTTTGTTACCATCCTGCGGTCTAAAAGGAGAAATAAAAAAGTAAGACTTTTTCCCTCAACCATAGAACTCCTGGGTAAGACCTCTATAACCTCTGAGCAACGTGCAATGTTAGCACTGAGCTTGGAAGTAAATACAATTGTCAACTGAATTATATCAAACCCAGTCTCGGTCCAACTGTATTTGCTGGAAGAGAACACTTCTAAGAAAGGGGGAGAATTAATCACATCCACAGATGAGATACCAACATGTTCCACTCGTTCCACATTAGCAGCTATCAAAGGCAGTTACAGCATTTTCTATTGCCAATTTAAGTGATCTGGGAGGGGAGGTTGTTTGTTAGGGAAGAAAATGCTTTCCCCCCCCCCCAAAAGGACTGTTGGAAGACAGACAAGAAACCTTAACAATAATGCAAAAGTGTCACGTTAGAGTAACATTTATATAAGTTCATGGCATTTATAAATTTGGATTACTGTGAGTTTAAATTTCTCATTTATTAAGACAGACCTGAAAATACATGTCCTAATTTGGACTGCCACAAATAAACCTAACCTTGCCTGAAAGTCTCCATAATGGAAATACCAGAGCACGGGAGGGAACCACCCCCTCCCAACCCCAGCTCCCAGGAATGCTTGGATGAACTGGGAAATATTAAATAATGAAAACCAATCCCAGTCTCAAAGGAAAAAACAAAACAAAAACCCCCAGGGTTTTCTATTACCTCTTAGCCCTAAGAGTTCGCAACAAGACTGTAATAAAGTGAGCTATTTTAAGCAAACCGCCAAGAATGAGCAGGCAAACCAGATAGGATGTGGAAGTACTGGTTTCTCCAGAGCTGAAATGGGTCACAAGCCCCCTCTTTCCAGTGGAAGAGGGAGTAGCTGACACTGATCATGAGACAGTTTTAAAGTGGTAAGGACTAAAAATCAGGGAAAGAAAAGGAACAACAACAAAAAATTATAAAAAACCAATTAATATATAACCCCCCCCCCAATCTATGGCTTGGATATACTGTTGCAATGGATCATCAAATGGGACTTCCAATAGTTGAGAACATTCTGAAATGCCTAGGTCACCTGAAACGGAGCCCTAGAGGAATCAGTGAGTCAGTTTAATCTACCTACTGCACAGGATGTCTAGTAGATGTAAACTACCAAGTAGCTCTGATTACTCACTGTGCACTTTAGAAGTAATTTCATGAGTGTTTGCCAGAGCTAAGTTCTTACCTCTATAGTAGGCAAAAAGTCTAGGTTACAAGTTGATCTCTTGTTTATTCCCTAAAAAGTCTTCTTTCAAATCAGAATTCAATGTTCCTTCAAGATTGTATGCAGAAGCCACCTATGTGCATTGCCTAAAGCAAAGACCTGAAATCTTCTGTTAAGTAATAATCAATACTGTTTACCTGCTAATTCGTCATGGAGTATGAAATTGTTTGCCAAAATATTCACCCCAAAGCAGGGTACCCAGTTAAGAATATATACTTGCCTGTGATATTTAGATAACCAAGCCACTACATAATACAGAAAAAATGTCAATTCCTTCAACTGAGACACCAGTATATGACTTCCCACCTCCTCTGTATTGTGAACTGCCACGTTTTCCCCAAAGAGAAAGCTGTTATCCATTTACAAGGTCAATAAAACCAATCAGTTGTTCTGTTGTGAAGGAAAACACACATTCCATTTTTTTTCCTGGGTTTGGTAAAGTAAATATAATAGTTCCCTCCTACCCTAAAAGGTCACCCTTTTGAAACTGAATGTCTAGAAACTAGGTATCTGGCCAGTGACTTTCCTCATCTTAGCCCCTGGATAGCACAATTTCTCTATTAAATGGAGAACAATGTATCTGTGGTGTGTTCTAGAGCATTACTGTGGTGACTATAAGCACATAGCCAACCTCTGAAAGTAAGTATTTAAGAGTAAACATTAAAAAGGAATGAAGTCCTGGATTCTCTAAGTGCGTGTAATTGCTCTCTTTCCCGAAACAGGCTCATGTGCTCTGGTGCAAGAACTAGGGGAGTGTGGCCTTACCTTGCAGGTGCGGTGGCTGCCGGCTGCTGCCCATAGGCTGGGTAAGCAGGCTGAGTGCCATAAGCAGACTGAGCTGCATAG